CATTATTCTGATAAACATCATAAATCCTCACAATAAACCAGACCATCATATTACCATGGCCCCCCGATCTTCTCTCTGCACCCCAAAGCCTGCTTCCCATGCCAAGCCAGAGGAAGCTGATGAACACTGGAGTCAGATCAGGGCTCTTCTAGCTCAGAGCTCCTCTGGTTCCTGATAGTCCCTGGCTGACGCTGCTGTATTCACCTGGAGTGGTCTGAGGGGCCAGTAGAGCCTGAAGAGCCTGTTCTCTCCTTCTTCACTCCAGACCTGGTGCTGGTGATGGTGGCGGGGGTGTTGGTTCTTTAGCAAAAGGACTCAGCCAGGCATGGACAATGACAGCCATTAGCAATGTTAAACAAAAAAGTTTCACAGCCAAAAGCTTTTCTGATAGAAGGGGTTTACTGAGACAAATGCTAGTCAGAAAAGGACCAGGTCCTGGGGCATGTGGTCTAAACCACAAGCAGCAGGGCTAGATAGAGAAGACAACATGTCCACCATCCTAGAGATGATGGGGCTCCTTTATACAATGAGTCTGGGGAAGAAAGATGTGAGTTTTTTTTTAGAGAATTTACATTGGGTACCAGATAAAGAAGATGGTAGAAGTTGAGGCAGGGCTAGTTCTGGGATAGGATAGGTTCATTGTCTCTAAGGAAGAAACATTTGCTCCTTTGAATTGGTTGTGGACAACAGTTCGAAAAGTTCATGTGTAAACAAACAGCTGACCCAGGGGGTTGGTGGTGCCTTGTGGTTGGCTATTCACTTAGTTGTTCTCTGGATAATGGAAGAAATAGCCTGCTGGAAGTTAATTCAGTATATTTACATTTAGGAATGTAAGCAGTCTTTTGTTGCTTTTGCCCTTCAATTGTTAACTGATTAATCTTTCTTGTCTCTTCCTTCCACTCATGGCCTGATGTAATTTAATTTCAGAGGTCTCAGAATTTTCTCCTTGTCAGCAGCCAGTGCTGCCTCAGTCTGGGCCGAGACTCTCTCTTTCAGACTCCAAATCTCCCCCACCCCCAATCCGCCCCAGCAGTGGGCCACTCAGAGTCTGTCCCATGACCAACACCCAGTTTCCCCTTTTCTCTCCTTAGCCCAGGCCCAAGGAGCTGTGGGGTGTGACGCCTGGATGGGGGTGGGGGGGCTTCCTGCTGCTGGCCCATCCCCCCAGTGCCCTAACCTCAGGTTCCTCCTTCCCCAGCCCTAGCCCAAGCCCTAGCCCCAGCCCTAGCCCCAGCCCTCCTGCTGAGGGCTAGAAGTCCCTGTCTCCTCCTGGGTGGCCTCCCTCAGTCCTCATTTCCAGCCACTTCCTCATCTGATGAAGCAGCCCAGCCCAGCCCAGCACAGTTGTCACTGCATTGTCCCCCACCTGCCTCACCCTAACCCCCAATCTTGTGTCTGTGATGTATATGTATCTGTGTCACTGTCTGTTCCTCTGCCTCTTTCTCTGTCTTACCATCATTTTCTCCTCTATCTTGGCTCTTTTTGCTTTCTGTCTAAGAGTCAAGTATCTGTCTTCAAGTTCTGGGTTCCATTTCCACATTTATTTGCTGTGTGATCTTGGGCAAGTGTGTTTACTTTTCTGTAAAATGGGGTTAAGAGCATCTATGTCAGAAGGGTGTAGTTGGGTTAAATGAGTCAGCACTTGGGACAGAGTGCCTGCACATTATTAGTGCCCATATCCTGATGGCTCTTTTTAATATGCCATGAACATCACAAAGTTCTGATTCTCTAATAATTATAGCAGGCACTTATAAAAAGATGACAAATGTCAGCTGCTGTTCTAGAAACATTAATTTATTTGATCCCACAACTCCCTATAAAGTAGGTACTATTTTATTCCCCATTTTACAGATGAGAAACTGAGGCCCAGAGAGGTTGAGAGACTTGCTTAAGGTTGCCCAGCCAGGAAGAGCTGGCTTCAATCATAGCCAGCCACTGATCTTCCTGTTATAATGTGTGACCCCCTGATTGGGGATGGAGGTCAAGTTCATATATACACCCTTTGGCCTTCATGTCCAGCCATTGGGGGCTATAGCATTGCCCCTGGAGTGTCTGGGCTTGATTCTTTCTGGTGTTATCTCTCTGTCCCTCCTCCCTGTTGTCCCCTCCTCCCTCCTGCCACCACCCACCTCAGACTTCCTCCTTCACTTGGTTGGTCACATCCCACTGGCCCTTGGACTGTAGTATCCAGCAGTGTTGCCTGCATCATGGGGGGCCTTGGACCCTCCAACAGGCTCCTGCTCCTGCCTCTTCTTCTGACTGTGGGTGGTGAGTTGAGAACTTCTGCAGCTGCCTCCAGAGTCCCTGGGCTCGGCTCGGGGCAAGGCAGGGAGGGAGCAGGGTAGGAGGAGAGAACCAAAGAGGAAGATTGGGATAAGAGCAGATCTCCAGCCCCCCAAACCCTATGGGTCTCTCCCAGAACCTGAGACTCCAATATTTGGCCTCTGGCAGAAGCCGAGGACAAGGGATGGGACCCTAAGAGTGTTGTAACAGGAGAAGTCGGTATAGAAGTTACATAGTCCTGTGACCTTTATGTTGGCCACAGGCCTTACCAGAGGTTGCTCTACACCATGGCCCCCTAGCAAAATTCAATTTCCCCAGCTTCTACCCTCCATGCCCGAATTTACCTTCTTTTTCTCTCCTCAGGCCTCAGCCTTGTCCAGGCCCAGAGCGGTATGCCTAGACCCTGAAATCCCCTTCCCTACTTCCAAAAAACCTCCCCATTTTTTCCCAAATCTCTCCAACCCTCCTCCTGCTGACACTCCTTCCCAATTTCCCGACTCCTACTGATCTCCTCTGACCCCTGTGTCATATACATTGCCAGAATGCAACTGCTCAGTAGTAAGCCCTGGTGTGCTGGCGGGTATTGTGCTGGGGGACCTGGTGCTCACCCTCCTCATTGCCTTGGCCGTGTACTCTCTGGGCCGGCTGGTCCCTCGAGGGAGAGGAGCTGTAGAGGGTGAGTGGGGCTGGAAGGGGATGGGGCCTTCTGGGGATTGCCTGGAGGGGAGGGGTAAACTCCCAAATCACAATCATCCATGGGGATGATGATGGAGGGGCTGATTTTACATCAATCAAATAATCCCAATTTACCACCTGGTCTGTCTTTGTACCCTGTGCTACTCCCCACCCCTAGCAGTGACCCAGAAACAGCACATCACTGAGACAGAGTCGCCTTATCAGGTGAGGAAACTAGCTTCTTTTTCTTCTATCTCACTCCTGCCCTGTGGGTGTCTGTCCTAAACACTGCCCCTACCCCAAGTTCCTCTAGAACTTAGACTCTAAAACCACTTTCTTGAAGCTCCTCAAACCCTTGAAGACTAATGGGACATCTGTCCAAAACTAATTTCAGTGATTAATCATGATCTTATGCTCAGCTTAAAATGTGTGGAGAGGAAATATAGGGATATTTTGCCTTTGCAAAGGCAAACACAGGCCTTAGCCAGAAGGCAGTCTCTGAATTGTTCTGGAAAAGCCCAGCCTAGGACAGGCTGATTTCTGGGAGAAGCTCTCATCAGTGTAGATGATATAATTCAATAGGAGTTTGGTAACTCTAAAGAGAGGAGTTCTAGAATTGGGGGTGGGGGCTGGGATCCTGCATCCTTTTGAAAAGCTGATGAAAGCTAGAGACTCCTCAGAAAAATCCACACAAAAAATAGAAAATTGTGCATATAATCTAGGAGTGGTTTAAATATCTTTGAAATCCTTAAGAACCACGATGCAGATAAAGGGATCTTTCTATCTTCTGCCTATCTGTCAACATCACTCTTAATCCTTTAGGGGGTCATGAGCTCTTCTGTGAATCTGATGGAAACCAAATAGATCCCTCCCCAAGGTGCATATATGCACACCCAGTCTGACTATATGCATATGATTTCAGGGGTTCTATGTGATGCCTGCCTTTTGGGGCCATAGACCCCACCCCCCCCATAACTACAATCCCTGCTCTGTGAAATCTGTTTTACTTGTCTGCAACCAGTTTTGCTTTGCCTCATTTGTGATAAAAAGTCTCTTTGTAAAGTGTAAGAATCTTGAGTTTGGCTCTGTGATGTCCAGAGGACTGAAGGGGCTTTCCAGTTCCTGTGGTCAGTGAAATATTAGGGAAAAGCATTGCTCCACTTTATTTGTTGAGCACGTATGTGTACGAGATACTGAGGACACAGCAGCAGAGCTTATATCCTAGTTGGGGAGACAGACTTGAAGCAAATGAACAAATAAGATCATTTGGGAAGGCATCATGAAGGAATAAAGCAGACTGATGTGACGGTGACTGGGGTGTGGGGTGGGGGGGAGAAACCACAGATGGGGAAATTAAGAAATGCCTTTCTGAGGAAGTGACATGAGCTAAGACTTGAAGGGGGAGAAGGAACCATTCATGAGAATACTTAGGGGACTGGTGTTCCAGGCAGAGTAGTATGTGCAAAGGCCCTGAGGCTGGGGCATAATGATGAGGCAGAAGAGAAAGGAGAACTTTGAAGGCACTTAAATCTAGATGTCTAACATGGCTGCAAGGTTGAAAAAGCTACCAGGGCACTTGCAGGCCACTGGGAGAAGGTTGGATTGCGTTTTACATTTATTTGGTGGACCCCTTCCACTGATGGTCCCCACTCTGTCCATCCCTTTAGGAGCTCCAAGGTCAGAGGTCAGATGTCTACAGTGACCTCAACACACAGAGGCAGTATTACAAATGAGCCCAAACCATGGCAGTCAACAACCTGATGCCTGGATGCAGCCATTCCCAATGCCTACCCAGCACCCTATTCCTACTCCAACCAAGATACAGATCTACAGAGTGCCCTCTCTGAAATATTCCACTTTCCCACACCCCTGCCCCCAAATAAACATGGAACACAAAACACTGTTGAGTTTTTCCAGATCCCTGGGCTGAGGTGATGGGGATATGTGGAGTTCTGGGAGGGTAGGTCATGTACCCAGAAATAACTAAATGAGAGGGAGGCTTTGGGGACCCTGGGTTCTTTGAGGAAGAATTAGAAGTAGAGGTATTTCAATTGCTTTATTCCAGCCCAAGTGGGGGAATGGGTTTTCTGTGCCGCCACATGCAATCCAGAATGAGAAGGTCAGAAGTCGAAGGTCAAAGTTACAGGGTGTCAGCCCCTGCCAGGCATGTTGATATAGACTTTACCATCTTCTGGGGGTGGGGGAGAGAAAGCATCAGGCCTGACCACCCACCACCCACCTACATCTCCACCTCCCTGGGGACCCCCACCTCAGGGGTTTCCTCAGGAGTTCCCCTAGCAGCACCCCCAGGGTTTCCCCAGAAGCACCTCCAGGGCTTCCCCAGGGGGAGGCGGGGGCCTCCAGGGAAACCTCTTCCCTAGGGACACCACCCCCACTCCAGGCCCTGCCCTGTCTCTGCCCTCACCTTGGGTGGGCCTGTCACGTGGGATGGCACACATAAACACCACCACCACGATCAGCAGAGATACAATGGCATCAGCAGCCACAAGGCCTACCAGGAGTGGCAGGGGGAGGGGCCCACATCCGGAATAGGAACCTGGAGGGTGGGGGCCAAAACAAGAAGACAGATGAGGGGGTTTCAGGCTTTCAGGACTGTGCTTTGGTCATATGAGTAGAGGAAGTCCCTGAGGGGTGACCCAGGTTCCCTGGGGTTGCACTTGGGGCATAAAAAGGGAGATGGAGATCCAGAGAGAGTCTGGGGTATCCCAGCATAGTGAGACATATGCTGTGCTTTGGGCATAGTGGGTACTCCTGAAGAGAGGTGGGGTGGGGGTGGGGTGGGAGGGAGGGTGTTGGTCGAGTCCCTAGGGCTTCAATTTGGTGAAGGGGGCAGTGAGTGAGATAGGGATCCGGGGGCTCTGATTTGGGGATGAGAGGTGAAATGGTGACATGGAGAGCTGCTGGGGGTATTTCAGGATCCGAAAGCCCACTTTAGGGATGGAAACAGTACCTGAAGAAGCATGGCAAAGGGGGTGTGTTGATTTCTCACCTGGGATTATTTGAGCTGCAGCCACTGTGGAAAGAGAGGGAAGGTAATCAGTGGGGAGAGGTAGTTCCCAAAATAGAGTGCAGGGAAAGGTGATGTCCTGAGAAGTAAGCTCTGCTCCAAAAGATCAAATGAGAAAGAGGGGCCGAATGTGAGGGGAGCTCCTGGAGAAGCAGAGAGAGACAGGAAATGAGAAGAAGCAGAGAGGCCCAGCAGTGAGAAGAGGAAGGAGATTAACAGGCAAGCACTCCAGAACTTAACTTCCCTCCACAAAGAGCCAGGCCCCAAAGCCAAATGAATCTCAGTGAAGGGAAGGGGGAAGGGAAGAGGGAAGGGAAAGAGCACTGGGAGAAGGATATGCCCTCATTGCCCCTCCCTTCAAATGCCACCAAAGCCGCCCCTTTCACAAATACTCTGGCTGACACTAGCCCTTCCCATAACTGCTGGCTTCACCTGAGAGTAAAAGCAGGAGCACCGTGTTGCTTGGAGGGATCATGGTGGGCTGGGGGCCGGAAGGGGTCTGGCGGAGGCTTTAGTCCAGACAGGTTCTGAGGAACAGTGTGGGAGAAGAGTGGTAGCAAAAGCGGATGTCACCCTGCTGGTGGTAAAGCCAACTGCTTCCTGGGGTGGGTGAGGGGTGGGCAGGGGGAGGAGAAGAAGTGATGGATCCCTGTCATTGCCTATGGGGACAAAGTTACCAGACAGGGGACCTGGCCCTGAGTGTGTCAGCCTGTTGTGTGTGGGTTCTTGACTCCATGTAAGAAAGATTTCACAACGTGAGTCCAGGTGACTACAAGGATACATTTTTTAAAGCTGGGGACAGTGAAACAAGGAAGGGCCAAGCATAGAAGAAGCAACAGGAGAGCCTGGGCTGGGCTGTCTTAGCTCACTTGGAAATCAGAGACAAGTGGGCCTTGGGACAGGTTGAGGGGATTAGCCTGGGATGAGTTGCTGCTGCCCATTGCTCCCATGATTGCAAGTCTCAGGGTCCCTTAGAGTTTAGGAGACTCATACCTGTCGGGGAAGAAGAAAGGGAAGAAGAGGGAAATGAAAATGGCATGGGCTGCTCCGCAAAGGGAGAATTCACTCATTGGGTTCTTTGTCTCAAGGCTTTTATCTCTCTCTTTCAGTCAGGAATCTTATGGTAGGTCTTAGGGGAGGGTGTCAGAGGAATATTTATTGGTTTCCCAGGTGTGTTTTTTCAGGTCTTGGTCTCTACTGATTGGTCAGTGCCAGAGCAGGTGGTCATTGCAGCTGGTCCTGGCATCTGCCCATATGGTTTTGCTGGTTTTCTGGGCCTGGAGCTGAAATACAATGGAGGCCTGGATGTTATCACCAGGGAGGTGAACTCCTGTATCTGGCTCTAAATTGCTTGGCCTATTTGTTCAGCTATCTGTCTCAGTTTCCTTGTTTCACTTGCCAAGGAATTCTAGCTTCTTACTATCTGGTCTCAGTGGCAAAACCAGTTGTTTCCACTGTGTGTGTTGGGGGGCGGGCGGGGCAGGGGCATAGCAGGAGGACAGGTGGTGGGTCCCTGTGACCGCCTTTGGGGCCAAATTAGGGGGAGGGTCAGAGGCCAGGGAAGTTGCTATGATTGTCCAGGTGGGAGGTGACAGGTGGACGAGGGTGTGGGCACTGGGGAGATTCTGGAACGATTTTGGAGGTAGAGCCAACAAAAGTTGTTGATGGAGTAGATAAGGGTTTGTATGGATGGGAGAGAGGGATCCAGAAGGACCAAAGTTTCTGGCCTAAGCAACTGAAAAGACAGAGCATTTTTTGACGGAATGGAGGAGGGGACGTGCTGGAGGTTTGGGCACAATGAGTTGGAAATGCCTGCTAGATCTCCCTGTGGAGAAGTTGAATGACCACAGCTGCCTTTTTGAGTTCAGGGGTTAAGTCTGGTCTAGAGATGTAAATTTGGGGGTTGATGGCCTATGGATGGTATTTAAAGCCAGAGACTGGATGAGATCACCAAGTTAGTATGATGGAGAACCACTCTTCCCCTCCACCCCAAGAACGGGTGAAGAGGGGGAAATAGCTAGGAAAACTGAGAAGGAGCAGCAAGTGAGAGAGGAGAACCACCAGGAGAGCATGGATTCTTGGAAGCAGGGGAGAAATATGATTAACGCTTGTCAGTGCTGTGGATAGTAATGAAGATGGGAACTGAGAACAACAGCCTCTGCCTGGAATGTCAGTCAGCTCCAGGGTGGGAATTCCTGACTGCTTAGTTCACAGCTACACCCCAGCATCCACCAAAGTGCGTCCCCTGCAGTAATACATTATTTTAAGTGATGAATGAATTAAATGAGAACTGACCTCTGAAAAAGGAGAAGGTGATACGAGGGAAAGGGAGAAATTTGAGTTCACCTTTGTTATTCTTACCTACAGACCTTTCCTCCCGGTAGACCAGGAAGTCCGGACCCCAAGCCCCTCCTCCCACAACCCTCTAATATTGCACGCACCCCCAGCACCAGCCTTGGGCCCAGCAGTTGAGGTCTTCAGCACGCCCTGGACAGAGTCCCACTAAGTCCACGCCCCCAGTACCCTTCTCCTCCTTCACGAGTCCAGTATCCCAGGCCCTTTTCCCGCAGACCAAAGCTGGGGAGCCTACCATATCTCTCTCCCAACACTCTCAAGTTGGGCGCTCAAAGTCAGTCAGCCCAGGCATTTCATTGCCTGGGTTTGTTAAAGCGCGACGCGGGGACTCCCGGGCTGTGGGCGGGGCTCTACTCAGGACGGGCGGTGCCAGACCAAGTTTAAAAACTCGCGGCTGGCAGGGCCCAAGATCGGGGACCCAGCGGCGGCTCCGCGGGTTAACAGCGAGGCTGGCGCAGCGCCGAGGCCGGGGCCCTGGGGGCCCGCAGTCTGCGCAACGGAATCCCCGAGGTAATGGAGGGACTGGAGGTGAGGCCCACTCGGCCCCAGAAGAGTGAGGGGCTGGGAGTCGGACTTTTAGAGTCCTGAGGGACAGGGCTAGAGTATCAGATTCTGGGTTCTGAGACTGAGGGTACCGAGTGTTTGGAGGGGAAAAAGGGCCAGTATTCTGGGGTCATGGTGGAGGAGCAGCTGCAATTCTGGGTTCTTTGGTCCTGGGGGTAAGGGGACTGGGATCCGGGTCCTGGGGATGAAAGGGCGCTGAGCACGGATTCTTGATCCTGTGGGAGGAGGGGGCTGGCGGCCGGGATTCCTTTCCCTAGAAATCTCGGCAGGATTGAGTCCTTAGGAGCGCGGCTGTTTAAAATTAGCCACGAGTCTCAGTGGGAAGGTCCAGCGCCTGGCCGCAGGGCCCACGTTGGCCGTGATTCTCCCCCCCACCCCTCCGGGACTTGCCGAGTGGCCACCCGTCCCAGGTTCCGGGACTGAGCAGGAATTCCCCATGTGCGGGGATTCCACGAGAGCTACGCTTGGCCGCACGCCCCGCCTGTAAACCGGACCCCTGGGGCGGGACTGAGAGAGGAAGAGGGAAATGGAAGATTCCCTTGCGGGAGCGCCGTGACGTCAGCGCGTAGCTTCTGAGCCGTTTCCGTGTCTCCCTGCTACCCTTAACTCTTCCTCCGCCGGAACTCGGAAGGGTGGGGGTTGAGTGAGGATACGGACATACTGGGTTGTGTGAACGAGGCGTCTGGGAACTGGGACTCCCAGGTCGTAGGGAGGAGGATGCTGAAGGTCCAGACTCCTGCGGGATGTGGCTTGGATTCCTGGGTCTGAAGGTGGGGATGGGGTCTGAACCTCTGTATCTCTGAGGAGCTCCAGGGAGTTACTGACGCTTGGTTCCCCCAGGAGAGGGGCTGGGGATGCTGCGGGGCTGCTTCTTGGGCAGAAAGATGTTGGGAGCCTGGATGTGCGTGTCCAGGATCTGATGCTAGACAACCCCTGAGACCTCAGGACTGGGAGATCTGGAGGTGGGATTTTTCACGGAAGTCGGGGGTGGGGTGGGGGGGCTCACAGAGGGGCACCCTCCTCCTCAGTCCTCAGTTTCCATGATGCTGGTGGAAAGTTGGGTCAGAGGGGAAAGTGCGGAGCAAAAGGAAGGAAATAGCGGAGGCGGGCAGGCACCACACCCGAAACCTTATATAGGTTTTGGAGTTCTCAGGCGGCATTAGTGTGCCAATTTTTCCACGAGGGAGAGTGAGGAGTGCAGGAGGGTGCCCAAATCCTTTGTCTACGACTTGGATCCTGATTACTTCTGCCCCCCCCACCCCCCACGCCCTACTTCCACCTCACAGTGAGCCGGAATGAGCGCAGCCACTGCCCCTCACAGACGGTGAAAAAGCTCCTGGAAGAACAGAGGCGCCGTCAACAGCAGCCAGACGCTGGTGGGGCACCGGTGAGGCCCATGAAACCCTGTCCACCACAATTCTCAGGAGACTATGTCCTATTGGGCAGGAATTTGCTGGCCTGCTGGGTCCTCAGGGCTGATGAGAGATACAGTCCCGACTTAGACGACCTATAGACGGGGAATGGATGCTGAGGAATCTCCAGGTAAATTCAACCATGTTCCTTTTTGCTTATGTCTCTACAGGGACAGTTCCTACCTCCACTGGCCCAGCCCCTGATGCCATCTGTGAACAAGGGTGAGGTTGGTAAGTCTGGAAACTCATTTTGGTTTCTTCAGCTCCCAGCCCAGCTTCTCTCAGGGACTCACAACCCAACTCTTACAACTTTGGGAAAATTGGGAGTCAGGCTCTGATTCTTGCTGGGACCCAGTGGAAGTCTCATCTCCCAGAGGTTCTCTGCAGTGCAGTAGTCTATGCACATAGTCCTTTGGTGTCCCAGAGACCTAGGCTCCCAGCCTTTTGGTGCTCTGGGAGTCTAGGCCCTCAACCCCTCAGCATCCTAGGACTTCGATTCCCTTGGTGTCCCAGGATTCTAGGTCCCAGAAGTACTAGCTTTCAGTACCTTGGGAGACTGTAGGTCTTCACACAGGTCCTCCAGCCTTGGCTATGACTTACCTAACTCTGATAATCAGGCCTGTCCCTAATCCTTCTCTCACATGCAGGCCATACCCACTTTCCGGCACATCAGGAGGCTGTGGGTTCTGGACTTGGTGGCCTGGCCCCAGCTACAGGCTTTCCAGATTGGAGCCCCAATACACATGCTGCCTACACAGACAGCCCCTACTCTTATCCTGCTTCTGCTGCCGAAGGTTTCCTGACTTCTGACTTTTGCCCACCGTTGGACCCAGGGCAGCCATATCCATTTCCCTTGGGAATGGAGGTGAGATGCAGAGTGTGAATGGAATCCTGGAGTGCCCCCAACATTTCCAGTTGATTTTATGTGACATTCTGAGTGGTCTGGGGCTGGGTTAAGGGCTCATTCCTCATGGGTAAATTTAAGGCCCAAAAGTCCAAGTTTACTTGGCACAGATGGGACATGCAGCCAGCTACTCTACCTCACACTCTATATGTGTGTGTGGTGGGGTTGGATTGGGAAGAGAGAATCCTCAGCTAACTGACTCTCCCCATTACCTGCACCCTTCAGGAACCCCTGGATTCCCAGCTTTATGCAGAACCTTCCCTGCCACAGGTGGGATCCTGGAAAGGTTCTGGACTCTCCTCAGGACCCCCACAGTTACCCCCTGTGGTTACCGGACCATCCCTGGACACAGCCCGTGCTCATATGCTGGCCTTGGGGCCACAGCAGCTGCTGGCCCAGGATGAGGAGGGAGACACGTGAGTATAGAGGAAAGGAGTCTGGGTTCCTGGCCTGGTTGGAGGGAAGAGGGACGGTACTCACTGCCACCCCGACCTGTCCTCAGGCTCCTGCACCTGTTGGCGGCTCGGGGGCTGCGCTGGGCAGCATATGCTGCAGCTGAGGTGCTCCAAATGTACAGACGTCTGGACATTCGTGAGCATAAGGGCAAGGTGAGGGCCAGGGGCCTGGACTTCTGAAATCTTAGGGCAGAGGGTTTGAGGGCCTGGGTTCCTGATTTTCAGAGGGCAGTGGGTTTTGGACTCAGACTGACTTTTCTTGTCATCTGCAGACTCCTCTCCTGGTGGCTGCTGCTGCTAACCAACCTCTGATTGTGGAGGATCTACTGAATCTGGGAGCAGAGCCCAATGCTACTGACCATCAGGGACGTTCTGTCTTGCATGTGGCTGCTGCCTATGGGCTTCCAGGAGTCCTCTCGGTATGGCTGTGGCAGGTGGGGTTCACTGATTGCCCAGATCCTGGCTTCCAGGACTGGGAGGCCTGAGAGGACCCTGATTGACCACTCCACCTTCTCTTCCTTCCAGGCTGTGATTAACTCAGGGGTCCAGGTTGACCTAGAAGCCAGAGACTTTGAGGGTGAGTTGGATTATGGACAGGGCCAGTGTGGCAGGTGGGACAGGGCAGGGTGGGTGCTCCAGATGCAGAACGCTTACTCTCTCCATTCTGCAGGCCTCACCCCACTCCACACAGCCATCCTGGCCCTCAATGTTGCTATGCTCCCACCCGACCTGTGTCCCAGGGTGCTAAATACTCAGGCCCGAGACAGGCTGTCTTGCGTCCAAACGTTGCTGCACATGGGTGCCGATCACACCAGTCAGGTGAGATGGGCTATGGGCAGCCAGCCCCAAGGAGGTCTTGTGGGATGGGGGTACCTCACTAGTACTTACTTTGCATCTTCCCAGCTATGTATCCTGGAGCACATGATATCACTTCTCTGTGCCCCGGTTGTCAACTGGAAATAATATTACTGATCTCAGTTTATGTTTATCAAGCACTTATTATACATCAAGAGCTAAGTTTCATAGATTAATTTATCGAATTCTCACAAACATCCTATGATGCCTATGTTATTGTTTTTTTACTTTACTGATACAGAAAGCAGAAGCACATGGTGTCAAAAATCTTACAGCTTATGAGTGTCAGAGAAGGGATTAGAAACCAATTAGTCTGATCCCAGAACTGAGCTTTTAACAATTATTCAGTATTATCCTCCTTTCCCTCTTTCACAAGCTAGCCAAGGGAATTAAAAGTCCATGTGTATTTTTGTTTGTTTGTTTGTTTTTGTTAAAGAATTTTGATACAGATAAAGTACAGAAAATAGTATGATGGCCCTGGCTGGGTAGCTAACTCAGTTGGTTAGAATGTTGTCCTGATAAACCAAGGTTATGGGTTCATTCCCTGGTCGGGGCACATACAAGAATCACAATCAGATACCAATGACTGCATAAGTAAACTTGAACGACAAATGGATGTTCCTCTCTCTCTCTCTCACTCTCTCTCAAATCAATAAATAAAAATTAAAAAGAAAAAATAAAATAGTATAATAAACTCCATGTACCAAACAAATATCAATAACCAGCAAATTATAGCCAGTCCTGTCTCATCTGTTCCTCTACCTAACTATATTATTGTTAATAAAATCTAAGCATATAATTTTATCCAAAAATATGTGTGTGTCTTTAAAAGGTAAGAACTTTTAACACCAATATCTACCTTAAAAATAATTAACAATTTTATAATGTCAAATATCTTGGCTGTGTTCAAATTTTGTTTCGCTCTCAAGTGATATACATTTATTTTTTTCATTAAATAAAAAACAACCCTGGAGGATCCAAATAAAGCCCACATATTGCAATATGTCTTAGGTCACTCTCAATTTAGAGCTTCACCCTCTATCTCTGTTTTCATAATTTATTTGGTGAGCCAACAAGGTTATTTTACCCTGTATAAACACATAACATCTTTTTAAATATTTATTTATTTATTTTTAGAGAGAGGGAGGGAGGGAGAAAAAGGGAGAGACACAGTAATGTGTGGTTGCCCCTTGCACGCCCCCAGCCGGGAACCTGGCCTACAACCTAGGCTTATGTTCCGCCTGGGAATCAAACTGATAACTTTTTGCTTTGCAGGCTGGCACTCAATCTACTGAACCGTACCAGTCAGGGCTTTTTAATGTTTGTTATCATTACAAACTCTTCAAAGGCTCATACTAAAGTTTCATTGAGGAAAATGGCGTTATTTGCTCCAAAATATGAAGAGAACAGCTTAATATGGAAATGGATATAGGCTTAGTTTAGTCTATTGATTAATGTTGCTCAGTTCTTATATTTGTAAATAAAGTGCAGTCCATGTGGGATGTGAGTACTTTTGTGCTTAATAGAATGTGGGTTGGCCAGGCCAACTGCTAGTGCAGAGAGCCCCTTTGGAAGATTAGGAAAAGAGCCTTTTTCTTCAGACACTTGGGCTGGAGAATTATCTTAATAAATATAAAGTTCTGTGATTTGTATGATGCAAATGGTAGGTACCCCCTTAAACATTTTTGTATAGTGTACAACCCACACAACTGTATAAGGCACCCCTGGGTGCTTAAAGAGGAGAGGCAGGGTTTCTAAAGGCTTTTGGGCTCTGTGGGAGGGGGCCTGAATGTGAGGACTGGCCTGACCTCTGCTGTTCCTCTCCCCACAGGAGATCAAGAGCAACAAGACAGTTCTGCATTTGGCTGTGCAGGCCGCCAACCCCACCCTAGTTCAGCTGCTGCTGGAGCTGCCACAGGGAGACCTGCGAGCCTTTGTCAACATGAAGGTGGGGACCTAGGCTAGAATGGGCAGATTGCGAGAGATCTGGCATAGAGGGCAGTGGGATGTTGAGAGTCCTGTGGACTGTGACTGTGAGGGGATCATTGGCTGGGACCTGGGTGGGGACTGCACAGGATGTGGACATAAATGGATGGGATGTGTATGATGTAGACAGGGGTATGTGGAGTGTCATGGAGGGAGAAATATGTGCTATGGACATTGCAGAACGTGAAGTGTGATGTTGAGGCCCAGGCCAGCTGAATCTGAATCTTCAGCCCTCCCCTTACTTTCTCCAGGCCCATGGGAACACAGCGCTCCACATGGCAGCTGCCCTGCCCCCTGGCCCACCCCAGGAGGCCATAGTACGGAGCCTGCTGGCAGCTGGGGCAGATCCAACACTTCGAAACCTGGAGAATGAGCAGCCTGTCCACCTTCTGCGGCCTGGGCCGGGCCCTGAGGGGGTAAGCACTGAGCCCACCCTGATTGCAGTGTGGCCTCTGACCTAACAGGGTGAACTGCTGACCCTATACATTTCTGACCTTAGAGGGTTACTTGTGATCTCAGAAGGTGACCTTGACCCCTATCCAACCCTGACTTAAAATGTGACCTCTTACCTCAGTATTTGATCCCTTACCCTATAATGGTAACTCCTCCTGACCTCTACTTCAACCCTGACCTCAAAGTATGATCTCTACTTCCAATCCTGAATTCTGACCTCAAGGTATGACCTTGAATCCCCAGATATAACCTCCAATTCCTTGTCTCTAACCCTGAGTCCTGACCTCAAAGTGGGACCCCTGACCCCCAAATGGGATGGACCTCTGACCCTATGTCTCTACCCTTTAACTCCCAGGGAGTTCTCAGTGGGAAACCAAAGGTGGGAACACCCAACCAGCAACAGCTTTCTCTTCACTCCCAGTTCTGGCTCCTGAGCCATTTCTCAATATGTGAACCCAGACCTTCACCCGCAACTCTAAATCTTGACTCTGAATCTCTGATCTTCAAACCCAACTGACCCCACTCTACTTTTGTTCTTTAACCCCCAACTTCACCAGCTGTGCCCCTGCCACCTCTTGCAACCTCCAAAACATCTCCTGCCTTGTCTTGTTCACAGCTCCGGCAGTTATTGAAGAGGAGCCGCATGGCACCCCCAGGCCTGTCCTCTTAGGACTCAAATCCAGAACCTGGACTGATTTTCCAGTCCCCACCGTCCTGTGGGACAGCCAGCGTATGCTAATGTTGCAAATCCATGATAATGTATGTGGAATGTCCTGCCATTGGAGGTCTTACATTAAAACCCCAAAGTGGCTGCTGGGGGCGGGGTGGTAAACAGTCCCCAACATTTGGGGTGGTGTGCTATCCCTACCCCACCCACAAGGAGCCCCCTTGATGATTTCTGTGAAATCGAGGCCCCTTGATTGTTTCTATGAAACATCCTGGACCCTAACCCTTTCCCCACTGGGATCTTTTAGAATCCCCCTTTCCTAACTTAGCTTTTCATACCTGGAATCTGAGATGTAATTCTCCTACATGGTATTTGAGGCATCTCAAAACAGCTCCCGGTACCATCCTAGCAGAGCTGTTAAGATGAATCCCCCCAACCTCTTCAGGTCCTTAACCCTGAGATTTGGGAAGGACTCCTGGATTAGAGTCCCCTAAGTCCCACTGCTTTCTAATTCAAAAGTCAACCAGGCCCCAGTCCCAGACCTCTATTTCCAGTGAATCCCTCCCTGAAACTCCCTATTAAACTCAATTTGGACTAGAACTGTTATTGTCTAATCTCTGGAGGCATTGGTGTTGGGGAGTGGCTACGGTGCCTTGCTGGGGGGTAGTGATCAGGGGTGTCCAACCTTTTGGCGTCTCTGGGCCACACTGGAACAAGAGTTGTCTTGGCCCACACGTTAAATACATTGTGACACGTAATCACAAAATCTTATAATGTTTTAAGTAAACTTATGATTTTGTGTTGGGCTATATTCACAGCCATCCTGGGCTGCATGCGGGCATGGGCCTCAGGATGGACACCCCTGGTAGATGAATGTGCTTGGGTGGGAGTGTCTAGCAGATGCTGTGGGTGCTAAGTCCGTATCTCGTCACGCACCCCCTATGAACACACAGTGGTTTGATTGCCAGTGCCAGCACATGAAGCTTTGCCTGTGGGCATTATCAGGCCACTGGCGCCTGTCTGCCAGTGATATGAGCATGGCAAGCCTAAAATGCCAGGGAGTTCATGAAACTTCCCACTCTTGACAACCTTCAACCAGTGACTGATAGGAGATGGCATATGTCACTATTCCAGGTCCCTCCCCTCTGTGCGTGTTGTACCTGGCCTCTCAAAATTTCCCGACAGAAATAAGCTCCACTTTCCCCACAGAGGTTCTGGCTTAATAACATACTCTTGGCTGCTTTCCCTTTTCTATGTTACTTCCTGCCTCTCCTACCATCTCTTGCCTCTTCCAAATAATCTCAAATCCTTGCCTCAGCTTCTTCTGGAGAAACTCATACTAAGAAGAGCTCTACAATGTCCTCTATACTTGTCCCACAGGCTCTGCTCTGGCCTCTATCTCCATCTCATCACTCAAAGAGCCCCCACCCCAGAAAACCTTTTAACAAAAGTATTGGGATGACATTGGTTAATAACAGAATATAAGTTTCAAGTGTACAATCCTATAATTATCTGTAAATTGCATTGCGTTCTCACCACCCAAAGTCTAGACTTCTGTCATATATTTGGACCCATTGACTCACTTTGATCTTCAACCTCCTTCCCCTCTGGTAACTTTCATATTGTCTGTGTCTATAAGTTTTGTTTGTTGGTTGCCTTTTGATTTATATCCCACGTGACTGAAATCCTACAGTTCTTGTTTTTTTAATCTGACTTACTTCGATTAGCATGATATTCAAGATTTATCCATGTTACAAATGGCAGTGTTTCATCTTTTCTTATGGTTGAGTAGTATTCCATTATGTATGTATGCCATATCTTTATCCAGTCATTCATCAAAAGTATCCAGTCATTCATCAAAAGACACTTCTTAGGTTGTTTCCATGTCTTAGCTACTGTGAATAATACTACAATGAACATAGGGGTACATATATCTTAATGAATAAATGTTTACAATTTTTTGATAAGATACCCAGAAGAGGGATTGCTGGGTCATATAGTAACTGTATTTTTAATTTTTTGAGGAACACCCACACAGCTTTCCACTGTGGCTGTATCAGTTTACATTCCCACCAGCAATGTCTGAGGGTTGTTATTTCTTCACATCCTCTCCAACACTTATTTCTAGTCTTATTAGTAATAGGTGATTACTAATAAGTTCAAGGTAATTACTTATTAGTGCAAGGTGATATCTCATTGTGGTTTTGATTTGCATTTCCCTTATAGCTAGTAAAGTTGAGCATGTTTTCATATATCTGTTGACCATTTGTCTTCTTGAGAAAAGGGTCTGTTCAGGTCCTCTGCCTACTTTTAAGTAAGATTGTTTGTCCTTTGTTGTATTTAATTTGCATGAGTTCTTTATATATTTTGGATATTAGCCCCTTATTGGATATATTGTTTGCAAATGTCTTCTCTCATTCAGTTGTTTGACTTTTTGTTTTGTTGTTTCTTTATTCTTAAATATTTTTAATTTTTTTTTTTTAAGATTTTATTCGTTTATTTTTAGAGGGGAAGGGAGGAAGATAGACAGAGAGAGAGAGAAACATCAATGTGCGGTTGCTGGGGGTTATAGCCTGCAACCCAGGTATGTACCCTGGCTGGGAATCGAACCTGGGACACTTTGGTTCCCAGTCCGCGCTCAATCCACTGAGCTACGCCAGCCAGGGCTCTTTATTTTTCAATTATAGTTGACATTCAGTATTATTTTATATTAGTTTCAAGTGTACAGGATGGTGGTTAGATAACCATATCATTTCCAAGCTGATGCCCCCAATACTTCAAGTACCCACCTGGTACCATACAAAGTTATTACAATGTTATTGACTATTTCCTATGCTGTACTGATTAGTTGCCTTTTTGTTTTGTTGATGGTTTCTTTTGCTGTGCAGAAGCTCTTTGGTTTGATGTAGTCTCATTCGTTTATATTTGCTTTTATTTCCCTTGCTTTTGGGGCCGAGTTCATAATCCTCTTTGAGATCAAGGTTCATAAGTTTAGTACCCATGTTTCTTCTGTGTATTTTGTTGTGGCAGATCTTGTATTTAGATCTTCAATCCATTTGGGGTTAATTTCTGTGTGTGGTGTCAAATAGTCTTTCATTCTGTGTTTGGCTTTCTGATTTTCCCAACATTGTTTATTGAAGAGGCTTTCTTTTCTCCATTGTACATTTTTGGTTCCTTTGTCAAAAATTAGTTGCTCATATATATCTAGGTTTATTTCTGGCTGTCAATTCTGTTCCACTGCTCTGTGTCTGTTTTCTGCCAATACTGTACTGTTTTGATTATTGTAGTTTTGTGGTATAGTTTGAAGTCAGGGAATGTGATATCTCTGGCTTTGTCCTTTTTTCTCAGGATTATTTTGTTTATTTGGGGTCTTTTGCAGTTCCATACAAGTTTGATCATTTCTTGTTCTATTTCCTTGAAAAATGCCAGATTTGAAAAATTTTATTTATTTATTTATTTATTTATTTATTTATTTATTTATTTATTTATTTTTACCCTCACCCAAAGACATGCCTTTTGGTTTCAGAGAGAGGGGAAGGGAGGGAGAGAGAGAGGGAGAGAAACATGGATGTAAGAGAAAATGCCTCCTGCTCATGGCCTAGTGGGGACTAGGAGACTTACCCCACAAGCAAGGCATGTGTCCTGACCAGGAATGAAACTGGTGACTTTTTGGTTCACAGGATGACACTCTAATCAATTAAGCCACACTGGCTATGGCTGCCATTGGGATTTAATGGAGATAACATTAAAGCCATTAAACTTGTATGTATATTGCTTTAGGTGATATGGCTATTTTAACTATGTTGATTCTTCTAATCCATGAGCACAGAGGTTTTTTTTAAAGATTTTATTTATTTATTTTTAGAGAGAGGAGAAGGGAAGGAAAGGAAAGGAAGAGAAACATCAATGTGTTGTTGCCTCTTGTGCACCCCCCACTGGGGATCTGGCCTGCAACCCAGGCATGTGCCCTTACTGGTACTCGAACTGGCAACCCTTTGGTTTGCAGGCTGGCACTCAATCCACTGAGTCACACCAGCCAGGGAGCACAGAATTTTTTTTTCTTTGGGTCTTCAGTTTCTTAAAACAATGTCTTTTAGAGTTCAGTATATAGGTACTTTACTTCCTTTGTTAAGTTTATTTCTAAGTATTTTATTCTTTTTGCTGCAATTGAGAATGAGTTTTCTTTCTTTTTCTGATATTTCATTGTTAGTATATGGGAACACAACAGATTTTTGTACATTGATTTTGTACCCTATAACTTTGTTATATTTGTTTATTGTTTCTAATAGATTTTTACTGGAGTCATTAGGGTTTTTACATGTAGAATCATGTCATCTGCCAAAAGGGATGATTTGACTTTTTTATTCCCAATTTTGATGCCTTTTATTTATTTCTTTTGTCTAATTGCTCTGGCTAAGACTTCCAGTATTATGTTAAATAATGGTGGTGAGAGTGGGCATCCTGGTCTTTTTCCTGATCTTAGAGGAGATGCTTTCACCATTGAGTATGATGTTGTGACAGGGTAGGTCAGAGGTAGGTCCCTGGAATATAGAGGAACCCCCAACACCCAATCCTGCAAAAAGGCTGGGGTGAGGGGAGAAGGGTGCCAACAGAGCAGAAGGCAAATAAAACAGCCCTTGCCTTCCTGAAGGGGTGAGATGTGAAAGGAGGAGCCTACTGCCCGAGCAAATTATAAATGTGACTGTGAGAATGTGAGCTGTGCTGCCAGAGTGGCTCCTGACATAGCAGGGGTGGGGGGAAGCTCATACAGTGCCTGTGTGGGCTGTGGGAGCTGAAGCCCAGCCCTGGACAAACAGATACTTATGTGTCTGTGTGTGGCTGGGAAACTTCCCCTGGCTAGAGAAGGCAACTGAAAGAGGTTCAAAGACACCGAGGAGCTGACAAAAATAGTGGACACTAACACACAGTGGGGAAAGCTGGACACTCCCACTGGCTTCCTGTGCACGTGAGATTTCAGGAGGGCCTTTTAAAGAAAAGGTACAGAAAAGCTGTCTTACTCTCTCACACGCTTGGTACTAAGAAGTCACTCTCTTGCTTTGGAGCTTGGTGTAAGCTCTCTTTCTGGGCTTTTGGCATTTTGGATGTTTTAGGCCTCTGGCCTTGCTCCCCACATGGACGGGAGTGCTCAGGACCAGAAGATGCAGGGCACACCAGGGGCTTAGAGGATGGCCACTCCTGGAGATAGGGCCCCACAATGGGACGTGTGCCTCCCTAGGCTCCAGCATCCGGGACACCATGATCCTGTGCAGCACAGCACATGGTTGCAGGACCACTACATGGAGACTAAGAGTAGCTACCAGAAGATGGCGACTCTGAAGCCTACAAATGCACATGCCAGAGAGGATGGAGATGTTTGTGACTGGCTTAAGAACAGATAAGGAAATGGGGAACTTTTGGGCATGGTTTTCACTTGTCATCTTTGGGGGAGCAAAGGAAGTTCTAGGTCTCTTGGGAGAGGAAGGCTTGGAGCAGGAGTGCTCAGCACACACTCTCCAAGGTTGGAACCCTGTTAATAAAAGCCTGCTTCTTTCAACACAAATTGTTGGGTCATGTGGATTCAAGGTGCCAAGTGGCCAAAA